ATATATCATTTTTTATTTTTATATTATTTTCCTTTGATATGTCATTTCTTACGCTTGAATGTATCAATACTTTTTCCTAGAGCACTCCAATTATAAAATTAAAGTTATTTTATCATTGTCTAAACTTAAAATGTAATATATAGATTTAAATGTCCTCATGCATGTAGTAATGAATTTTTTTTGAATTAAAATAGCCGCAGAGCCTTACACTAGTGAAAAATTTCACCCCGCTACACTAGCAAAAAAATTCGCCCCGCTACACTAATGAATTTTTTTATCTCCTACACTAACGAAATTTTTCGCCCCCCTTGACTCAAAATCCTGGATCCGTCCCTGTAACAACATATGGAATACTATAAAAGAGCCTCCGGATTTAGATGAGCGCATATGCTACAAAGCCCCTACGCTCATATATAAATTTGGAATGAAAGAAGCTTTTCTCAAAATGTCACCTCAAGAGCGTCAAGAGTGGATAAACTATAACATCGAAAAAGACTATGCTGGATTTAGGAAGCTTTCTTCGCTTTATTTTTCATGAAAATTTTATTTATGATGGAACTATTCTTGTTGAACACTTTTGTTATTGAACTGTTATTCCTTCCTACCGTTTTATAAAATATTGGCTAAAGGGTCAAATAGGCCCCTGTACCTTTCCGGATTGTTCAATTTGCCCCCCGAACTCAAAAAAGCTCCAATTGGCACCCTGAACTCCATAAAAAGATTCAAATTTTACTTTTTGCAGAACACAAGCCGGTCACCGCCACATCACCCGGTAGGGTGCCAACTGTGCATGTGACATGGCAACTTAGAGGGTCAAATAAGCCCCTGAACCCGACTGAAATGTTCAATTTACCCCCTCAACCCTTAAAAAAAATTGACATTTTTAAAGGTTGAGGGGGTAAATTGAACGATTCGATCGGGTTCAGGAGCTTATTTGACCCCCTAAGTTGCCACGTCACATGCACAGTTGGCACCCTACCGGGTGACGTGGCGGTGACCGGATTGAAACCTGCAAAAACTTAAATTTGAATATTTTTATCAAGTTCAGGGTGCCAATTGGAGCTTTTTGGGGTTGAAGGGGCAAATTGAGCAATCCGAAAGGGTACAAGGATCTATTTGACCCTTTAGCCTAAAATATTTATACCATCTGGTGTTATTTTTAATAACTTATCTCATTTATACAATTTTTTTTTATGAAATATGCATACCATCTGGTGTTATTTTTAATTACTTATTTCATTTATTGTTGTGAAAGTCCGATTAAAATGACATTTAAATGTTTGTATAGGTTAGATGAAATGGAAGATGAAATAAGGGAAACAAGTAGTGTAGAATTTTATGAGATGTTGAAGTTATTTTATTAGCTCTTGAGGCAATACTTCAAGTGTTGAGTGACCTATTATTGTTAATGCATGAAGGAGAGTATATTGAGCGCCCTATTCGCAATCCTATCATCACCATTGGGTTTAATTACATAAATACAATATTAACTGAAGATCCTGTGCATTTTAGAGAAATGCATAGGATGTACCACGATGTTCTTCTAAAACTTTGTAGCATCATTAGGAAAAAAACATCACTTCAAGATACCCGTTATGTTTGCGTGGAAGAAATGCTTGCGACATTTTTACTTACGGTCGGTTAACACAGTCATTTTTGTATTACACGTAAGACATTTGGTAGAGCAAATTCTACTACTAGGAGAAATTTTAACAAAATTTTGAAGGCTTTAAACACAATTTCATCCATGATGATGGTGAAACCGGCAACTGCTGTACCAGCAAAATCAGAGAGAGTACACGGTTTTATCCTTACTTTAAGGTAATCACTTATTTCTACTATAAAACTTTAATATCTTATTATAATTTTAAAAATATTACTAGTATTATTTATTTTCTCACTAGGATTGTATTGGAGCAATTGATGGTACACATATACCTGCGATAGTTGAGGGTCGTGATATGACCCCTTACCGTAATCGCCATGGAAAGATATCACAAAACGTGTTGACAGCTTGTAATTTTGACTTGGAGTTCATTTATATTCTTAGTGATTGGGAAGGTTCAGCTCATGATTCAAAATTATTAAATGATGCACTAACAAGAAGAAATGGGTTAAAAGTTCACGAGGTAAGCATCATTTTTATCACCATAAGGTATTTTGTATTTGTGTCGTATAGTAATATATCATGTATTTCATTTGTCATCTAAGGAAGAGTTCTCTAGTTGATTGCGGATTTGTAAATAGTCGTCAATTTTTGACTCCATTTCGAGGTGTTCGATATCATCTTCAAGATTTTGGTGGGCAAGGTCCTCATCCTGAAAATGAAACGGAGTTATTCAATTTACGTCATGCTTCCTTGAGGAATGTTGTTGAGAGAATATTTGGCGTTTTTAAATCACGGTTTGCGATTTTTAAGTCAATCCCTCTGTTCCCATTCAAAACGCAAGCAGAGTTAGTATTGGCTTGTGCAAGAGTGTATAACTTTCTACGCAAAGAGTGTCGCTCAGATGAATTTCCTGTTGATTCAGACGCAAGTCTCTTCTGACGAATCTTTATTAGAAGACGACAAAGATGAAATTGACACTCTCCAAACGCAGGATGCACAAAGGCAATATGCAAATCAATGGAGAAATGGTATTGCACAACGAATGTGGACGGATGTTATGAATGAAGATTACATAGATTGATTTTTTTTTACTCCAGGGGGTCTGGGGGAGGGGGGCTGGGGGCTTGGGGGAATCAGGGCTGAAACTCACTCCATTGAGTTTCAAACCCTTGTGTGCCTAGCGGGTTTCGAACTCAAGACCTCCCACTAGGCACGATAACCTCACAACCAGCTGGGCTGGAATGCTTGGTTGATTACATAGATTGAATCTATTCCTAATTGTTTAAGGTTGGGTTTTGGTTATGGATTAAATATCAATTACGTAGTTTGTTATATTTCAATTTGAGGTTTTTCCTTAAATATGACTACATTGAAGCCAATTTATCGTTAACATTTTCAAATGAATTTTAAAAAAAGGAAAAAGAAGAACGAATAAAACATTTATCAAAATATGCCGACGACTTTTCTAACGGCGGTTTGCAGCGGCTGAGCAGGTGTGGGGACTGGGAACTAAGGCAGCGATTTGCTCCGGCTTGTATTTCAAATCTATTAAAACCCATTAAAATCCATATGATTCCATAAAATAGAATTCCATAAGAATCTCATGGAATCTGTATAATTCCATTAAAATCCATAAAATCTACAATCTTTTAGAATCCGTGTTGGGGACACCCCATAAGGTCCACCTTTCTTGTGGAAGGTTTAACTGTATGTTTGTGCAGTATAAATTTTTTATTAATTTGAGCAACCTAAGTTTCAACAAAAAGGGATTTTTTAACCAGAAAATGATAATGGGAAACTGTCAAATAAGTCCATGTACTTTAACGAAAAAGTCAATTGAGTCCTCGAAGTTTTTTGTGAGTCAATTTGAGTCCATGAAGTATTAAATAAAGATCAAATCTGCTATTTTGTAGGTCATCATCAGGTTTCCCGGTTGGTGCCTACGTGGACGTCTAGGTGGCTGATTTTTACTCTTTTACTTTTTTTTTCTTTTCTTTCTTTTTCCGTTTCTCTTTCTCCTTTCTTTTTCTTTCCCAACGACCAGGCCTGTATGCTCTTCTCCCCCATTTACCCATGCTCTTCTCCCCCATTTACCCGTTCTTCTTCCCCCATGTCAGCATTTTTTTTCTTTCTCCTGCCAAATCCGCTCCTTTATTTTCCTTGTTTCAACCTTTCGGGTCCTCATCGGAATTATAGAGTAAGACCGGCGGAGATGGTGGCCGGTGGGTATCAAGGTAGGGGCGGAGGGGAGGAAGTGGTGGTATAGAGGCAGGGGTGGCCGGTCAGCGAAGGTCGTGGGTATGGAGTAAGGACCGGCGAAGATGGTGGCCGGTGGGTATCAAGGTAGGGGCAGCGGAGGTGGTGGTACGAGGCAGGGCTTTCCAGGGTGAAGATGGTGAGTATGGACGTAGATGATGTGGAGGTGGTGGTCTGGTAGAAGCTGAAATCTTTCGCCGGAGCAAGAAAAGGAACAGAAATTCATAAGGGGGGAAGAAGAACGGTCTTGACGAAGGGGGAAGAAGAACGGTCTGGGAGAGAAAGGAAAGAAAGAGAAGAAAAAGAATTAAAGGAGAAAAAGAAACATAAACAGAAACTTTTTCAAAAAAAAATAGAAAATTAGAATAAAAAATGCCAGGTAGACATCTATGTAGGTTGTTAACCAGGAAACCGGATGATTACCTACAAAATAGGAGATTTGGTCGTTTTTTACTACTTTATGGACTCAATTGACTCACAAAAAACTTCGAGGACTCAATTGACTTTTTCGTCAAAGTACATGGACTTATTTGACAGTTTTCCCAATGATAATTATACACTTCCATAGTTCCATGTAGTAACAATTTCACTACATGACGTCTTTTTGTTCATCTCAGAACCAGACTGGACCTCGACTGGCCATTTTTTTACCAAAAGATTAAAGTGGTCTTCCGGTTACCAGCCCGGAATCAGTCGAACCGGTTTGGTTCCATCAAAGAAGAACCAGGCCGGTTTCCCATTTTAAAAAAAACTAGACTAAGAAACCAATCCAAAATCAACCTGAGAAGTGGACAGCGAATGGGAGCCAATCCAGGTGACCGAGAAGCGGAGACAGTTCAACACTATACGTAAACCTAAGCAAGACTGAATCCACACCTAGAAATGGTATACCTCACAAACAAGAGGACTTAATAGGTGCGTGAAATGGTAATCAATCAATTCAATTACCTTAAAAGTAAACAGCATTTTACAAACAATGAAACTCGTATCTCAAACATAGGTCAAAGCCCAAAGAGAATGAGGCATGCCATAACGTATTAGGATTCAGCTTGCCACACCTCACTTTGTCCGACTGTCTTGCAAACCATAGGCTCCTCCAACGCCCTCAATTTTCACTCAATAAAGTTAAATGTACCTGGTAAAGAGTGGATTATTGAAGGCTGCATCCACCGTCAGAACCTTGCCCATGATGGACATTGCCAAATGATGTCAGTTCGAGAAGGTCCATGTCTCGACCTGATTCACACTAAAAAGCATTACACATCAAGGGCACGACTAACAATAAAGAACAATGGCAGCGTATTTAAGCAAAAAAATCTGTGATTACCAGAAACCCTGCAGTAAGAACTTTTCTGAATTAGTTCGGCTTTAGATAGTTCTGTTCGGTTTCCCTTTGATCTATTCACCCTGGCCTGAATCAACCAATAAAGCAAGAGGGAGAATGAACAATCATTTTTAACTTAAAATAAATATTTAGAGAGCAAAATAAAAGTACAAAACAATACTTTAAAAAAATACTAATATATGTAAAGTATTACAAATACTAATATTTGGAAAGTACTATGTACTCCCTCCGTCCCTAAATGTTTGTCACACTTTCCCGAAACGGATGTCCCAAAATGTTTGTCATACTTTTTCAACTTCTTTATTTGGTAAATAAATCTATATCAAACAATGTCAAACAGTGCAAAACAGTGCCAAACAGTGCCGCTACAGTGTGAAACAGTGTCACTACAGTGTAAAGTCAAATTCATCTCCTTAAAACTTGTGAAGTCAAAGTGTGACAAACATTTAGGGACGGAGGGAGTATTACTTTTTTTAATTTTAAGAAATTATTATATTTTGATCTCGTCTCAAGAGGATCCCTCTCTTTATTGAGAGAGGGAGATCTGAAGTTACTCAAGAGTAACTACACTATCAAGGCCTATACCTGCAAAACCTGACAATTTTCCAATGTGCTCTTTCCTCCCTGAAAAAATTTACAAAAAATGAACCCGAATGAAAGTTGTTCAAGCACACAATTTTTGAATATGCTTCCACCACCAGATTTATTTGTTTGAGCAAAGTATAAAAGGAAGAAGAGCAAGAAAGAAGAAAACATAAAAGAATGGAAACTTAAGCAAGCCTCTATCAGTGAAAATGGTATAATGGGAGATGATAGAAAGAAAAATGTGTTTCTAAAGTGAATAACTACTTCACTTGTAAAGGCATTATGTTCTCCAGTCCTTGATCATTTATGTTGTAAAGGCACAAACTACTTCAGTTTGATGGTATTCAAAATGGAAATACAATGAACATTGTACTGATGCCTAGCAGTTTTCTAACTGAATGCTAATGAACTGTTCTGTGCTTAACAGTTTAAGCCTTGTAATTCAATAATCACATGAATTTAAACATATTTTACATTTCTCAATCACCAGCTATAATTTAAAAAACAACACACTACATAACAATTTAAGGGAAGTTACTGAGTATATGCAACCGGATTTGTCGGCACAACATCAGACACATATCCGGCTGCCATTCGCAATATCAACATAATCAACCCCAAATTTCACACTGAAGCAGCAACAATGAACCAGCATAAATTTCAAAGAACTTTGTTAAGTCTCCTTTCAGGGTGTTTGAAAGTTTTCAGTTTTCGTTCTCTTAAAAACTAAAAACCAGATTTTGCAAACAAGGAAAAAATGGGTTTCAATTTTCTTTTGGCAGTTTTTAAAATTAACATGTGTGACTGTGAGTGATTTTTTAATATACAAAAGTATATTACATTATTAAGATCATCAACCAGATCAGGGCACTAAATAGCAGTAAAAAGAGTAGAATACGATTAAACATAGAAATGAATACAAATCCACATAAAAGCTAAATTTCAACACCATATTGCTGATACCAAAGAGAAAGAATAAATAGAGCATGATGGAAATGTGGATTATATATAAATGGTGTATTTATTGCAGCATCTAGTGATAATCACCTTAGAGTAAGGAATTATATGGTCATAGTCATGGCAGAGACAACCGGGGCAGCCCACCAGCTTCCGGAAGACAACGTTACCTAAAGCGTCTCGACGCCAACGGTCCGGATCACGGCCCTTGATCTTCTCGGCTTTTTCCCAGCACTGCTGCTTCACGCTGTACGGGAAGCTTCTCGGGTTAGGAGATTCGAATTCGGAAGAAATTTGGAGGCTGTCGAACAAAGACAGTTCCGAGGTTCCGGCGTCGCGGTCGACAAGAGATCCCGTCGCCGGCGGAGGAAAAAGCCGGCGGGGACGGATTGAGCCAGATGGGCTCTCCGGTCGGGTTTTCGTTGGCGGAGAAGCGTATCTGTTCCTTTTCTTTGCTTCTTCGCTTTGTCGTCTCATCTTCATGTCGATTATCCTTTAGCTACTGAAAACATATTCTTCTCGTTTTTCTTCCGGGTGTTTTTAGACTAATACTCCGTATAATTTAAGGAGGGTTAGTCATGGGTTTAATAAAATGTTTTTCAGCTTTTAACTTAAACAAAAAGATGAAAAGAGTGTTTTCAAATGACAGCTTCTATTTAAATTAATTAATCACTTAAAAATTAAAAATTGAAAACAAATGGAAGGGTGCTTCAAACTGTTTTTCTCTTTTTCTATTACACAAAAAACACTTATTTTACCAAACACTACAAACTTTTATTTTTTCAAAATTACTTTTTTCTCAAACACTATCAATGTTGGTCCAAAATAGGAAGCTCGTAGACTTTTAGAAAAGCTACGTACAACACTCAAGCAGGAATCAGGAAAGTAATACGAGAATAGAGAGTTGCAAAGGGAATTTTGTAGCCAAGAATAGCATATAGAAGTTGTCTCCCTAATATGAATTACAAACCGCCTTTTTATAGGCGTATACAAATTGTGACCATAGTTGTTATGGCGTGGTTTTGCGGCGCGGAACCTCCGGACTGCCATACCGCCATGGTGATATGGCGCCCGTCGCGGCCGCATCGTGGCGATAAGTCGACATATAAAGTAATAAGTTCATAACATGTTTTACATACTAAAATGCCTACATGTAACATTTGTAGCCAACACTAAAAATGAAATGGTAAAACATGTAATCACAGAAACAACATAATCCATAAGATCATAAGCCTATAGTCATCAAAACAATCACATACATTATCCATAATCCAACATTATCCATATCCATTAAATAAAAATAAAATAAAAATTGTTTTCATAAAGTTGAAACAATGGAAACTTTTCTTAAAATAGTAACAACACAAATTAAATAGTATTGGAGTAACTCAGAAAATACAATAAAAATACCTACACACTAAACCGACTCAAGTCAAACTCTAGTCTCTACACAAATATTGGACAAAAAACAGCGGACAATAGTAGCTATGGGACACAAGCGGCTACAGCCTGGGCGACGGAAATACAAGCTAAAGCTTGAGCGTGCGGACGATGAACGATGAAGACGGATGGAAGCTGTGCGTTTGAGATGTCGTCGAATTGTAGATAGGTCTGTTTTTTATTATATTATGATTTTGATGGGTTTCAAACAATTGGGTTTGGGTTTGGGTTTGGGCCTGTTCAAAATTGATTAACTTACGGTTGGGTCGTCGCTTAAGCGTCTATGGCGTGTTTCCGATGCCCAAATGACGCTGCGTCGACGCCAAATGGTTTATGGCGTCTCGAGCCATGGCGACGCCGTAATAACTATGATTGTAACCGCTACCGATAATAATGACTAATTAATTACAACATTAATACGGATTAAATACATAATTAACAACACATTAATTGCTTGACTGTTACTCTTCCGTACCGGGAGGTCGCCCGGACTGGCAGGCTCCCCGCTGGGCTGGCAGGCAAGCTCCAAGTTGTGGACTTGGATCCACGGGTCCAAGTTCGGGGCTTGGGCTGATTAGGCTCTGCGCCTAGTCTCATTACTCCATCACGAGTCCCCCACTCCCTTAGTCGAGTAGTAGACTCGGCTAAGAGGGAGAAGTCCAAGTTAGTTGCTCTTCTCCGAGACTAGAAGATCCCCGCCCTTGTCCATGTTGGGGAGATGCCTCATTAAAAATCTTCATTAGGAAAAAACTCAATGGAAAAAATCCTAATGAAGGGAAAAAGAGTACATCTGACGCCCCCAAGATGAAGCAAGAGGTGAGATCCTCAGACTTTATTGCAATGGTCGCCATCTGCTAGAACTGTTCTTCTCGTCGGGCTCAGACTTGTCAGGTTCGTCATTTGCTTCGTTGAAGACAGTAAGACCCTCAGTTCTCCACTTCATTCAGTTGTACCTACACATAAAAGAAACTAGTGTAGAATAAAGCATCTGGTCTGGTGTCGAACCACGGCTCAGTGTGTAAGTGAGTCGGACTCACTACTTGAAAAGAGTGACATCGAGTTCCCAAGTTATGCCTCAACCGAGTCTCCGAAAGAAAGATTGAATCTGCGAGTAAGTGAGTCGGACTCCTCACTCGAACGGATAATCCAACCCCAAAGAATTAAAGTATATTAACCTTTTCGAGAAATGTGAATGCCAATTAAGTGACAAAATTGCTCGGAAGACCGTGGCTCTAGGCCCCTAACAAGAGTTTAACTCGTCGACCGAGGTCAGTAGTTCGAACCCGCAAGTAAAAACGTTTGAACGGGTGACTCGTCCCCCGAGATCGGAGTGTGATGCACTAGGAAAGGGTAAGAGCACGCAAGAACTCGTATGAAGTCAAGAGTGTGTGGTATTAACATTTATATTGAAGCTTATTAATCGCCACACCCATATGACCTGACCCGGTGGCACGAGTGTGTGTGCTCGACCAGTGTACGAGTGTGTGTGCTCATCCGGTGTACGTGAGTGATCAGATTTCATAAGTCCGTTTTTCAATGTTAAAATTACACACGCTTAACAAGAGTAAAAGCAATTAAACCACTTAAAAAATATTTTTCAAGTGTTTCAGTTTATATTTTTTTTGTTGAACTTGATCAATTTTTTAATGATGCTCTGTATAAAATTGATTCATTGAAGAGTAAACTTATCTTTATTTGGAAGCCTTCCAAAAGAAAACCACTCCATTTGGGCTTGGCCCATAAATGCTGTCCGTCCCAAGTGACAAATGGGGAACCTCATCGAGTCACCATCTGCTATCACCCGCAAAGAGAGGAGCGAAGCAATATCTTGTGACCACTTGGCGCTGGCTACTGCTGCCGCCGCCCGCCAAGAGGAGTGATTGGCAGAGTCGCTGTTGCCGGCCGAAGAGGAAAGGACCTCGACCGTCACGCTTGTCGGGCCCTCTATTCCGGTCGTTGCGGTCAGGGGCGTTGTTTGCCGGGAAAATCGTCCAGAGGTCCCTTTGAGAGACTGTTGCGACCTTGAGCTGTTGTGTCCAGGCGTGGTGGCGGATCGAGGTAGGAAGCGGCGCGGCGCTGAGACGGAGACGGTGGACTCTAGCTGGTAGCATCCACCCCAGAGATATTCCGGCTCAGTGGCTCACGTTTTGGAGCGGCGGATCGTTCTGGCGCACGGCGGCGGCCGGAATGGCGATTACAATTCCGGCTCCTTTCTGGGAACTTCAAACGCAAATTTCCAGATCCAATTCCTTCTTTTCCCTTTTCCTTTTTTTGCAGATTGTGTTTTGCTTGATTTTCTCTATAATAGGGATGAATTTCTAGAAATTTCTTGGTCTCTCAATGAAATCACCAATGTTGGTCCAAAATAGGGCGCTCGTAGACTTTTAGGAAAACTACGTACGACACTCAAGCATTAATTAGGAAAGTAATACGAGAATGGAAAGTTGCAAAAGGAATTTGGTAGCCAAGAATAGCATATAGAAGTTTTCTCCCTGATCTGAATTACAACCCGCCTTTTTCTAGACGTATACAAATTGTAACCGTTACCGATAATAATGACTAATTAATTACAACATTAATACGGAATTAAATACATAATTAACAACGCACTAATTGCTTAACCGTTACTCTTCCGGACCGGGAGGTCGCCCAGACTGGCAAGCTCCCCGCTGGGCTGGCAGGCAAGCTCCGAGTTGTGGACTTGGATCCACGGGTCCAAGTTCGGGGTTTGGGACTTTGGGCTGATTAGGCTCTGAGCCTATTTTGGTATACACAAACGTTTTTAATCTTAGGATTTTTTTACTAGGACTATTTACAGTCCTATACCACACCAAATCAGACTTAAACAGACCAGATCAGTTCAGACCAGACTTCCGTAGTTATAAAATACAAAGAGACCAAACGTTTACCAGACCAGATCAAACCAGTTCAGACCAGACTTAAACAGACCAGATCAGCAAGTTTCAATCCAAGTAAAAACATCCTTATTTAACGCAATTTCTCTTTAAAGTTGGTTACACTTTCCTTTTTGGGATGTAATTAAAAGTTCGTTACACTTTTTCCTATAAAAATACTCAACTACTCTTACTTATTCTACTTATTATCTTCTCTTTCTCAATTACCTTTCATAACACTTGAAATGAAACAAATTACGACAAGATATGTTCGAATCAAATAATACACGAATTCATAGTCAATTCAGGAATGTTTATGAATTTCAAGTTAATGTTCGAATCAAATAATACACGAATTCATAGTCAATTCAGGAATGTTTATGAATTTCAAGTTAATATGTATCTATTCTTTAAAACATTGTAAATAAAGTCTACATGTAAGTTTTAAAATTTAAAAAGATATTTTCAATGAGATATAAAACGCTGATACGAAAAAATACAACACGACATGATCAAATCAAATATTTTACATGTTTTATGTAAATATAGCATTTTCGAAGCAAATAGAGTATTTTGACATAAATGGGGTCTTGGATTCAAATTTTCAATGCATAAGGTACATGTTCATCCCGTAATATTTTAAAAATGGAGTCTGAAACGGGAGCGTAGCTCACCTGGTAGGAAGATGTTTTGAAGGGAGAGGTCTCGGGCTCTCGACCCTTGAGGTTCAACTCCAAACAATGAAATCTCACTTTCTTTCCATAGTGTGATCAAAGCTCAACCTACACCCTCTCAAATAATTGTCCAGTCGGTTCTCGAGGCCTCATGGATGGGTGTCATCCTTTTTTTTTTGAAAATGGAGTCTAACAATGAGTTTAAGAATCAGATAATACCTTTCCAACAAGATATAAAAATCTTAAAACACTACAAAGTTACACCAAAATATGATATAAACTTCATGAAGGGTAGATGATATAAACTTCATATGAAGTTCACCCTATATACATTATCACCGAGGTCCCTCTCGCAACAGAATACACCAACTTTTACGACTTACAACATACATAAACAGGCAGCAAGCTCTTGAATAAGCCCTCTGGTTTCATCCCCCATCAACTTAAATTAATTTATCTCCCAAGCGTTTGCACAAAAGTGTTGTGCCAAGGGTCTGAGATGTGCTGTAACAAGTTGTCGAATGGACCTTTCCCAGTCACATTGTGCTGAATTATGAACCCAAGAAATGCCAACATTGCCAATCTCCCTTCAAACAAAAGAATGATAGGTTAATCCAATGGAAAATTCTTATTGTACACATCAAATCCATACACGCCACATAAACGCCGTCTGTAAGGGTATTTTTTGTCCGTAAATACACTGCTCACAGCAAAATATATTTTTCATTGGGGTGTATGGGGACGTGTAAGGATTTAGGCGTGTACAATAGTTTTTTGTAATCCAATACCTTCTATGCTCGCATTATATGTTATTTCATATGTTTTTTGCAGGTTCCAGTAAGACTGTTTAGACACGACGAGTACGAAAGATTCATAACTACAGCTTACCCTTACTATGGTGCATCATTCACCACTATGGCAGAATTTTTCATATTTAGCATCATATACCTTTACCACAATCACCCTCATATGTTTTTTTGCCTTTTGTTACACCAATAACCTGTCTAGTAAAACTAAAATCTTCCGAATTCGCTGAAACCGAGTGTAATGATCGATATGGGTGAATTTGATGAATTATTGAAAAGATAGGTTGGAATTTATACTAGTAATAATAAAGTAAAATAAAAAACTGATGAATGTATGAAACAAATTCAGCTCGAGTTGTTCTATACAGCAAATTCAACTCTAAATATAGCTGCAGTTTTACTCATTTTGATTATTACAGAAAAAAAAATGTGGTGTTTGGAACAAAAACTGGTTAATGAGTAAAAAAGTGAGTTGTTGTATTAATTCTGAAACAGACACTAAAAACAGTCAATTGAACTGAATCCAATAGTCACTTTGGTTTAGAGCTGGATGAAGTATGAGCACAAACATACCATTGGCAAGCTCCTTCTCCTTGGCTTCAATGGTGGGGGCGAACTTGAGGGGATTAAAGATTCCTCCAGGGTAGCCACATTCATTTGGAGGAAGGCTGTATTGCTTGAAGATCGGGTCTTGGTTCACGCATCCCGGATTCTTGATGTCTTGCCACCGTCTGATCTCCACGTAGTGGAACAAGATGAACTCGATCACCAACAGAGTCGACGACGACGCAAAGTATTCGGACTTCCCGGCGTCGTACCATTTCGGGACGTTTATAACTCCGCTTTGGGTCAACATCTCCGGCAGCAACATCCCTGCCACACCCAACATCGCCCACCGCCCATTCACCAGCTCAGCCTGCACGAACCACCGCAAGCTCTCCGGGTCCTCGGCTAGCCCGAGCGGGTCGAACCCATTGTCGCCCGGAAGACTAAATCATTCAACCAAAGAAGGGTTATGGACTAGCAATAAAGAATGTTCTCTTTTTGATAGTTTGTCTAACCCTAAAGTCTCCACTTTAAAATCAAGAAGAGCAAAAGAAGTGTAAATTACAAATTATTAGTATGTTCACCTGCCATCAAGATAAGCTGGGGAAGTCAACCCAGGAAGCCATTCACCTTTCCTGGTGGCTTGAACCTTGAATGAATAAATTCTGGGAGAAGAAGTCGATGAGGGCCGGAAGGAAATGTCCTTGTTGAGCTGCTTATTGGATGAGCCGGTTAGGAATCTGGTTTTGGAGGCGCGTGGACGCTGGGAAACGGCGGCGGAGGCTTGTATGACGGCGGACATTTTCCAGATACGAATGAGAGGGAAAAACGGGAATTACTAATTGTGTTGGGTTACAAACGCCGTCTTTCTGAAGGATGATAAGGAACTCAGGAAGGAGAGGGGAATGAATGGATGGGATTAAAAGGTGATTTGTTGATCTTATCCTTGGCATATCCATAGTCGGATTGCCATATCCGTATGATGTTTTATTTCTTTGCTGCCATTGGCTTATGGTATACACTACAGGGCCCACATGACCAGATTGCCATACCTAAAAAAAAGGTGTTTGCTTCGGTACCTTTGCAATTTTAGAGGTACAGTACCTTTGCTCGAGTGGCCAAATAATAGATAGACAAGTGGATTTATAAAACACATAGATATAATTGAGGAGGCAATCAATTTAAGAAAAATAAATTTTGCACTTTAGTCCTTGAACAGATGGACAGTAAACGGCATCTTCAATTCTAACGGAGATATCTAATCCCTACCCGTTCCCTGCTCTCCACAGCAACCAACAAAAGAAGTGCCTTGCCGCCGTTGGCTGTTTCCTACTCTACACTGCAGGTCCCCTGCCAATGAAGTACTTACCGGTTTCCTTCTCACTACCGCAACCACAGAAGAAAGAAGAAACGGCGTTTCCTTCTCTTCATCGCAACCTAAGCGCACCCCAGCCGCTTTTCACGGGCTTCGCTTGTCAACGGACGTAGCCCAATCAATTGCGAATTTCGACGTGTTTGAAGAATTCTCTTCAAAATATTCTAGGAAATTCGGTATGTATGCGTCTTATTCATCAATCTAATTTAGGGTTTTAATTTGTGCGAAATAGCTATCCATTATCCAATCAAAATTAGAACTTTTAGGACTTGTTTCACTTCAAGTTTTATTGTACGAAGTACAAAGATTGATTTAATTATAATCATTATTTATGATGAATGGTCTGTCACTCTATGGTATTCGATAGTCTAGCATCCATATTTGTCTGACAACTACTACAGCTGATGTGTATGGGTTAAAAGTACTCAATACATATCCTCAAAGCAGCTACTTTTAGAAGTTACACACTATAGCCTCTTTCTTGTACTATTTTTTCATCTTGAAACATGTGGTTACTTTGTTAGAATGCATTGGGAGCTCAGAAAATAAGATATATCATGCCAAGGATAGAAGTTAATTTAGTTTTGAAGTATTGAATTAATGAATTGCTGTAGCTTCTCATTTGTGAAGTTATACAAAATTGTTTAAAGTTTCATGTTTAAATGCATTCTATTGTCACTCTTAACTAGATTTTCCTAACAAAGTTACAACCTGAGACCAAATAGGAATTAGTTTCATTATTAATGGAATAACCTTCATGTAGGGACATCTGAAGTGTTTGCATAGAAGAGCTAGTTGTCCTGATATATCTAAAAGCTTGTGACCAAAAGGTGACCTTGAGGGAACATTCCTATACCAAGGGATTGGTATATGCAATGTAAGCACCAGCTCATTTGTTTTATCTCTACCATTTGCTCAGACACCATCACACCACAATAAACATTGAATTAGAACTGTGTAGAAATTATCTAGTCAACTAAAGTTAAAATAAACCAAAGAAACAAAAAAAGAAAAGAAAAGGACTTCAATTTAATGAAAATATAGACTTGAGTGATATTAATATAAGAACATAATGATCTCTCTTTATAGCTAGAAGACAGATTTATTAGAACACATCAACTACCTCATTTGTTAAATTAGATTTCAAAAAATGAATAAAGGTATAGATTTTATTAGAACACATCGATTCATTAAATTATACATATTCATTTCTTAAAATTATCAAGTAATTTGAAACTAGAAGACATCAAAAACCTCATTTGTTAGAGCAGATTGACTAAACAAGAATACTTAAAACATCATGGCATACTGTGGGAGAGAAGATGTTAATTTACCTGATCCCTCTTCATTAAGGAAGCTAGAAAAGCCTTCATCGCTATCCTCTTCTACCTCTATAATTATTTTATGACTTATGTTTGTTATGCTCAAATTGATGGGTTTTCAGTTAGAAGAGACGATGGCAGATTTTTAGTTTAACATCCTATATTGATGTAGTCTTGATGTGTTTTGTGAATTGTAGATTTAATTGCAAACTTTCATTTTTTGTTATGATTCTTCCCGTCATTGGAAAATGTCAGAACATTCTGAAGAACACGAAGTAGATTTTTCTAAAGACGTAGGCAATACTTCGATTGTTGGTAATTTCCATGGTGACGGATTATTGCCTGAGGGTTATAAAAAAATTTCTGATCTGACACCTGCTGAAATTAAGAGACTCGAATTCGACTGTGAGGATGAAGTTTATAACTTTTATTCTTGTTATGCTCAAATTAATGGGTTTTCTATCCTAAAAGATGATGTGCGTCGTGAATCAAATAATAATATCATCATGAGAAATTTGGTTTGTAATCGGGAGGGATTGAGAAGTAAGAAGCACATCGAAAGGAATGACCGTGTTAGGGAGCCAAAGCCTATGACGCGTACAAATTGCATGGCACGACTTCGCGCAGAGTTCGATAATCATATAAGGAAGTGGATAGTTGTTGATTTTGAGGATACTCACAATCATGAGATGACCCCATCACAGTATGTCCATTTAATGCCAGCTTACAGAAGCATTAGTGACGTCATTAAAGCACAAGTAGATAGTTTACACTTGCATGGAGTTAGAACTTGTCACATCATGGGGTTGCTTATTGGTCAAAAGGGTGGGCACGCCGATGTTGGGTTCTGCAAGAAGGATTTATACAATTACATTGATCAGCAAAAGAGAGCTAAGATAAATGATGGCGATGCATTTGCTGCATTATCTTATCTCCAAGCCAAAGCAGACAATGATAGTTTTATGTATTCCAAGTTCACAACCACAAAAGAGGGGAGACTCGATAACTTGTTTTGGTCGGATGGTGTAAGCAGGCTTGATTATCATTGCTTTGGAGATGTTGTTGCTTTTGACACTACGTACAAAAAGAACAAGTATAACAAGCCTTTGGTTATTTTTTCTGGGTACAATCATCACGGCGAAACAGTTATCTTTGCATGTGCCTTAGTATCCGATGAGAAGACAGAAACATACAAGTGGGTTCTGGAAACTTTTTGTGAATGCATGTCTGGTAAACATCCTAAGGCAGTTGTCACCGATGGAGATGGTGCGATGCGTGAAGTGATTCGGGCAGTGCTCCCTAGCTCCTTTCATAGACTTTGTTCTTGGCATCTTCACAAAAATGCATGTGATAATGTTAAGAACTCGCGTTTTCTAGAAGATCTTAATCCTCTAATTTATGGTAACTTTAGCCCTGATGATTTTGAAAGCAGGTGGAAGAAGATGGTTGATGAACAAGGAGTCGCCAACAACAACTGGGTTAAGAAAGTTTATGACATGAAGATGATGTGGGCAAGTGCATATATGCGTGACAAGTTTTTTGCCGGTATTCGGACAACATCCATCTGTGAAGGAATTAATTCATTCATTAAGCGGTATGTTCATAACAAAAACAGCCTTGTGGATTTTATGCATAATTTTGAAAGAGCCATAAAGGAGTATAGACACAACGAATTAATTTCAGATTTTAAATCCTTGTATATTGACCCTTTGTTGACCACTCCCCTACACGCCTATGAGTCATGGGCTTCACAAGTCTTTACAAGGAATAAATTCTGGGAGGTTAGGAAACAAATTGAGAATGTTGTTACACTTAATGTAGTTGAAAGGGTTGAGCATGGCAGTGATAATGTTTGTATCATAATGAATAAATTCGGCAGTCCAGACACCGAGTTCATTGTTATGTATGATAAGGGTGAATGTAATTTTGCATGTCATTGTCGATTGTACGAGTCTCGTGGTATTCCTTGTGCACACATATTTTGCGCTATGAGGCATGAAAATATTGATTCCGTTCCGAGTGGTCTTATTTGCCAAAGATGGACAAAAAAAGCTAAACTTGATTCCATGTCCTCGATTGATGGTAATGGTGATGATTCTGAGTTATCCAACTTGGATATGTTGAGGTCTGGTGCTATCTCTGTTGCATGTAACAGGCTGTATAGAGTGGCCTGTAAAAAATCATCGCTTTATTCAGAGTTCATTGCAGACATTGAGAGTTTGATAGATAAATTTGAAAAGCGATGTGGTGATGCACTTAATCAGAATAATGGCTCCAAGGTTCGTGATCCAACAATTGTAAAGACTAAAGGTGCTCCTCGTAAGGACAGAAATACTAGAAAGAGGAGAAGATGTGGACATTGTAAGCGACATGGTCATACGAAACGCAAGTGACCTACATTGAGCAATCGTGATCAACTACATGTGCTTGAGGAGGAGGTGGAGGGCAACGACGAGTCATCTGAGCAATCTGATGCTACCGGCACCACTAATAATGTAAGATCACTTTGCTTCTATAACCATTAGATTATAAGTAAGCAATTGGATTAAATATTTTTCTTTTAATCATTTCTTTGTTATTAAGGGCAATGCTCGTATGCTTGGAAATAAAGGAAAGAAAAATAAAAAGAAGAGGAAAAACGCAGAAGATCCTGCTAAATGTGCAAACACCAATGATGTGAGTTCTTAATTGGAGTTTGAAATTATTTTTAGTTACAATGTTTTGAAATTGTATTAATTATGTATAAATGAATATGGCACAGGATGCTGATAGAGGGAATAATAGTCATATCAATTTACCAGTGACTAATGCTAATGTAAGACTCCCCTATATTGTGTCTTCACTATTTTTAACAGAGTAAAACTGCATTTTATCATATCTTCACTATTTTTATAGGATGAATTTGCAAATGGCATAATGCTTGCACAAGATCATCATCACCAAGGAGGACATATACAAATGCCCGGTTATAACAACATACCAATGCATGATACTAATTGCAATGGTTATATGACATCCAATTGGCAATTTTATCCTCAATATCCGGCTCAGCCTACTGCAATGTTTCATGCACACGCATATGGAGGATTGCATCAGCGATATCCATACCATGGATATCATAATTCGGTGCTTATTTTGTTATTGTTTATTGAACGATTACATACATAGTATTGATTTTGAAAGTATTTGTATATATAATGCATTTTTTGTATTTGCAGTTTGTGAGTACTCTAAAGGAGGTTGAAAGAAATGCAAAAGATGGAATAAAGAATGGAAAAGGAGGTTGAAAGAAATGCAAATGATGGAATAAAGAATGGAAAAGGAGGTTGAATCCATTCTACGCGTGTAAGTGTGTATATATATGGAGTATGCTTAGGTGATAGGAACCGGGTGGCTTCATATTGCAGTTCTTTAGAGACTACCCCAACTACTTAAAGTTTTGGTATGCAAACAACTGCTTAGCTTACTTTTAAGTTGCGTGAAACTTCACAGGAATTAATTAAGCATGATAACTCATTACCCGACATTACAAATATAATTTCCCACCATATGTAATATCTGGTTGTGCAGTGATCATTAGTAGGCTTAAAAAATTGTAGTAGTAATGATTCTCTTCCCCCCTTTGGTGGGATGTTGATTCTTGATATGCTGACAGAGGACCACTGTTAACAACTGTCTGCTCATTGCGTTTTTATACCTCCAAGGTATCACAATCCATTTCCAGTTTTTGCCTACCTAATTGTATTTCTTGAATTCCTTATGCTATCCAGTCAGCGTCTCATCTTACTATTATCAAATCCTTACTATGCATGCATGGGATTTTGGATAGTATTTGAGATTCAATTATTGCGAACAAAGTATAAGCCATAAGCATGACAAGGTAACTCCACCTATAGCATATTCATCAAGTTTTGTAAATTCGACAATTATTGTCTTGATGTTTGTTCAGGTTATATGTCGTTCAGCTGATGAGTGTTGTCATGTGTATGGGTACCATCACTTATTGCTTGTAATGTTTGGTAACCATATATTTGTTTATTGTGAAAATTTTATGCCCATTGCATAACTTGTCTATCCAAGCTTTGGTAAATATGGGAGCATGCAGTGATAAATTTGCATAGAATTCTACAGTGCTTTTATCTTGGCTATAGTAGTCTTGTAGACCATTTATTTATCTAATTTTAAGGTTAAAAGTGGTCTACTTAAAACACATTATGCGATAAAAAATAACCAAAAACCCATGTATCATTAGCATAGACCATAGAGTACCTTCTTCCTCTTTACTTCGCTTTCCAGCTCGCTCTTCTCCATCTTGACTATTTTTTGTTTCATTTCATTCATTCCACAGGGTATGTTGCTTCCATATCTAGAAGATTATGAAGACGGATGTAGCATTACTGAGATCGTTGACATTTTTAAATCTGATGATTCTACTTCCAATTATACCACTGATGTTCTGACTTCTATGAGAAACTTCTTCGTATGTTCATAAAGGCTCGATCTTGATGAGTTTAGTGGCCGAGGAATGGCCGGGAGTGGGTAGCTTGTAGTAGCTTTAGCTCGAGAATACATGAGTTATTACGTATTCCAAGCAAACCACATGCAATTTCTTATTGTGAATTTTGTTTATTTTATATATTTGTTTAATAATTTATATTGAAAAAATAGCCCTAAATATTACTTATTAAAAATTATAGACAAAAATGTGACAATAAGTTATTATTAGTAAGTTTTACCGTGACTACAATGTAATATTTGAATATAAATATAGTAACTAAAATTACTAGAATAACATTTTAACAATAATCTAGATTTATTTGTGCTAGTATTTTAATAATATAATATTTTCGATAATATATTCAATAATATCATAATGTAATAATATTAGTAATTTTATCAATAGCATAGTAATAACAAAATTAAATTATACTCTAGGGATAATGATTATGATGATGATGATGATCGATAGGAATAACGATGATGATGTGGAGGAGGATGACGATTAAGATGATGAATAAATAACTTTATCATGACTTAAACATTATACCCCTTTAATAATATCAACTAGCTTTCATGAATCAATAATAATACATACTTTAGAAATAAGCTTTAATAATACCAATTATGTGGACGTAAACACATTCACGTTAGTTTCCTATTTTTAATAATATGAACAACAACAACAACAACATAATAATAATAATAATAATAATAATAATAATAATAATAATAATAATAATAATAATAATGACGATGATGACGACGACGACGATGATGATCGATAGAAATAATGATGATGATGATGATGATGATAGGGATAATGATATTATTGATGATGATGGTCGATAGGGATAATGATATTGATGATGATGGTCGATAGGGATAATGATTATGATGATGATGATGATGATTGATAGGGATAATGATGATGATCATGATCAATAGGGATAATGATTATGATGATGATGATGATGATCGATAGAGATAATGATGATGATCATGAGGATGAGGAATTGAGGATGATGATGATCAATAGGGATATTGATGATGATAATGATCGATGGATAATGATTATGATAATGATCGATAGGGATAATGATGATGACGATGATCAATACAGATAATGATTATGATGATGATGATGATCATGAGGATGAGGAATTGAGGATGATGATGATCAATAGGGATATTGATGATGATGATGATGGATGGATAATGATTATGATAATGATCGATAGGGATAATGATGATGATGATGATCATGATCGATAGGGATAATGATTATGATTATGATGATGATCGATATGGATGATGATGATGATCATGAGGATGAGGATGATGATGATCAAAAGGGATGATGATGATGATGATGATGATGATCGATAGGGATAATGATGATGATGTGGAGGAGGATGACGGTTAAGATGATGAATAAATAACTTTATCATGACTTAAACATTATACCCCTTTAATAATATCAACTAGCTTTCATGAATCAATAATAATACATACTTTAGAAATAACTTTTAATAATACCAATTATGTGGACGTAAACACATTCACGTTAGTTCCCTAATTTTAATAATATCATCATCAACAACAACAACAGCAACAACATAATAATAATAATAATAATAATAATAATAATAATAATAATAATAATACTACTACTAATAATAATAATAATAATACTAATAATAATAATAATAATGGCGATGATGACGACGACGACGATGATGATGATCGATATGGATGATGATGATGATCATGAAGATGAGAATGATGATGATTAATAGGGATAATGATGATGATGATGATGATCGATAGGGATAATGATGATGATGTGGAGGAGGATGACGATTAAGATGATGAATAAATAACTTTATCATGACTTAAACATTATACCCCTTTAATAATATCAACTAGCTTTCATGAATCAATAATAATACATACTTTAGAAATAACTTTTAATAATACCAATTATGTGGACGTAAACACATTCACGTTAGTTCCCTAGTTTTAATAATATCATCATCATCAACAACAACATAATAATAATAACAACAACAACAACAACAACAACAACAATAATAATAATAATAATAATAATAATAATACTACTACTACTACTACTACTACTACTACTACTACTACTACTACTACTACTACTACTACTACTAATAATAATAATAATAATAATAATAATAATAATAATAATAATAATAATAATAATGGCGATGATGACGACGATGACGATGATGATGATCGATGGGAATAATGATGATGACGATGATGATCGATAGGGATAATGATATTATTGATGATGATGGTCGATAGGGATAATGATATTGATGATGATGGTCGATAGGGATAATGATTATGATGATGATGATGATTGATAGGGATAATGATGATGATGATGATCATGATCGATAGGGATAATGATTATGATGATGATGATGATCGATAGAGATAGTGATGATGTTGATCAAAAGGGATAATGATGATGATCGATAGGGATAATGATGATGACGATGATCAATACAAATAATGATTATGATGATGATGATCATGAGGATGAGGAATTGAGGATGATGATGATCAATAGGGATATTGATGATGATGATGGATGGATAATGATTATGATAATGATCGATAGGGATAATGATGATGATGATGATCATGATCGATAGGGATAATGATTATGATTATGATGATGGTCGATATGGATGATGATGATGATCATGAAGATGAGAATGATGATGATTAATAGGGATGATGATGATGATGATGATGTGGAGGAGGATGACGATTAAGATGATGAATAAATAACTTTATCATGACTAAAACATTATACCCTTTTAATAATATCAACTAGCTTTCATGAATCAATAATAATACATACAAGTACTTTAGAAATAACTTTTAATAATACCAATTATCTGGACGTAAACACATTCACGTTAGTTTCCTAATTTTAATAATATCAACAACAACAACAAAATAATAATAATAATAATAATAATAATCTTATTTTTAAAGTGAAATTATTATTTTTGGTGTACAATTATTGAGAGTTGAGAAATACATATCTCTATTACAATAGGATACTACTTTATTGTGTTGTATTTGAACTAGGAAACTTTACAAAACCTAAACTCTATATAATCTCTAAACCCTGCGCCAATACTACGTTAACTCTGCCTCAAACTTGCGCCACTTCTCCCTCAAAGCCTGCGCCACTTCTCCCTCAAGCTTGCGCCAATGGCTGCCAACAAAAACACCGCTACAACAAAACGGACAAGGTACATCAATTTAGATGAGGATTCTTGCAACTCTCCCATCAAGATCAAGGAAGCCAAGAATGATGCAATTGTGATTCAAATCTCTTCTAGGTAAATATTGTTTTCTTAACCTGAAAATAAATTTAACAACTATGTTATGCGTAAGCATGTGTAATATTTTATTTTTCTAAATCACAGTGATAATTTGAGGGATGATGCAAGTTTGAAAGCACATGAGAAGCCCAACAATGAGGTAATATTCCACAGTATCAATATTTTTATGATGATATATGTGTTTCAGTTTTATTATAAGTCAATACCAATCCTACAAGTATTTTTATACTAAAATAAATAAGATTGCAAAAACATGCTTCTCATGCATTATCTCATAGTTCAGAACAACGAACACAATTCTTTATAATGGTTCATATCCAATGAGCTTAAGTGCTTAACTAAATATATGGTCAATTACTTTCTCACAACAGTCCGATTATTTTTAAAAACAACCCTGTTTTTTGTCAGGCCCAACCTTCTATAGTTGTATCATCAGTCACCACATGCACAGTATTGTTGCGTATGAATTAGTTCCACAATACAATGATGAATATATAACTAAAATTATAGTACTCTGTAATTGATAAAAATGCAGGTCTAAACCATCAACTTGAAATGCAGGTCTAAAATTATAGTACTTTGTAATTATAGTAGTTCCACAATATAATGGAATGGATCAAATTATCACTGCATACACATTAGGACCAAGTTCTGGCATGGAAAAAAGTATCAAAATCCTTTCTCCAATAATATTAATATCAGTTAACTGACAAGAGAGGTTTCTAATCTTACACCTATAAGAATAAGTAAGAATTTCCGCATATTAGTTTATAGTAGATCATTACTCTGTGGTAAGTGGCCAACAATAAAGTCTCATCCGCTGATCCGCATTAAAAAAATATTTACCTTTTCAATTTTAAGATTGTTGAAAACATCCTGCAGTACTTTGTAGTTCTGGATCATGTCATATTCTGTCTTTGAATCGAAGTTGACCTATACAATTAAAATTTTAGAAATGCAACAGTCAATATAAACAAGCATAAATAAGGAAAGAGATGGAGATTAAATGATAATTTGTCACCTTATGCATCAGAACAATTCCTTGGTAAGTCATGTTAATCATCTGACAATGCACTGCTCCAGATGCAGCCTAGCAAAATGAGTTTTGAGAAAACAAAATCAAGTTATCTCTAGTCTATCATGTACATACCTTGTACATACCTTGAAATTACAATACATAATTGAAAGTTGCTTCATTTGTTGAAACAGTCCCAACAGTCCCACGAATGAATGAAAAATAGGTAAATAAAATAAAATAGTAAATAAATAATTAACCAGGCAATGCGCTTCTGGTTAACAGCAGCATTACAGACTATAAGAGATTCAGAATCGAAAAATAACATTTAACTGAAAAAAAGAAACAAATGATTAAACTTTGAAATGGGAACCTCCTCAATACGAGAAAGATTAAGCTGAAGCCTTTAGCCTAAACTTCAATAGGCAGGTTGTTTATTTTTATTAAGCTACTGAAGTTTAAGCTAAACTGTTATCTTATTCTCTTAAATTAGATTTAGTATTTTGTTATCTAAGGTTTAGGTGATGTGATTGTATTCATATAAATTGATTACCGGGTTAATATTTACGTATCTGCTGCATCACGAGTTCCAAACTAATGGAGTTCAAAGTTGGTCTGTTA